AACCGAATACACGAAGAACCTGTTCTCTTGTTTTTTATCCGATGATTACCCCTATAAAATTTGAATTCTTATTTCAGAAGTGTTCATTAATATCCAAATTTTTATAATCATTACAATATCGAAACCATAAACTCCCTGCCTGCACCCACCAATTACGAATGCCAAAGTAAATGTACAGAAAGTCACCGTTCAAAGAAATTGTTGTATCAAATTTTATGTCGGTTATGAAACAGAAATATATAAATTACGGACGGTAAAGTAAATATACAGAAATTCGGAGTTAATAGGAATTGTTATATTAAATTTTATGTCGGATATTAAAGAAGAAATATAAACGGACACAAATTTTAAAGACAACCATTACATAAAAGAAATTTGTAAGGATTATATTTAAGAATAATCATTAGAAACAGGAAAAACGTCTTCTATACATATGTACAATGTTCCCCCCGTAACGTCGCGTTTCAACAGCTATCAAAACACTGAAATTTCGTTCTGTTTCTTTTTTAGAAAATTCATTGCTTCTTAAAACAAAGTATATTCAAGGCATTCGTATAATAGATCTTGGAAATGAAAGCTTAGAAAATAGATAATTACCATTTCGCAACAATTAAAATCTATGTGAACTTTTAACCAATAAATTTGATAGTATTCTATGAACAAAATCTATCTCTAAGCCTTCTAAACCATGGACCACTGGAAATATACCTCAAGCTATTATTCTAACTTCTTATATATCAATTTAAACAAATATTCTAATGAACAAATAATTTGACAATAGGAATAGGAGATGATTCGCGATCAGTTACGAAACAAAAATCATATTTTTCCAAAATCAAATAAAGCTAATACAGAAACCAACACACAAAACAGTTTTTAGATAATGAGAACAAAAATGATATCTATGTAGAATCCCTGATAAAAAATTACCACCATAACTTTTACGCCACATTTCTCACAATAATCATAGTATTGAAAGACCACACAAAAGGTAATTCAATAATTTTCTTCGTGTTAATGTTAGAACCAAGAGTTAAGCAAAGAAATTAAGCCTGAGTGTTAATAAATTAAAAACATGAAATGACTAGACAAGTAATTACTGATTCATTGCTGATCTTCTCAAAGATGACATCAATGGTAGCCCAAATTGTTTGATCAAAGACTGTTCTGAAGTTCACTCAATTAAACAATGCTGATTTGAAAACATTTCAATGTTATAAATAATGCTATCAAATGCGGTAACATTCAGCTGGATCAACGTGGATTAATGCAAATCAGTCAAATGATTTAATATTATATTTTTTCTATTTTGTCTATTTCGCTCTATGAAATCGCATGGCATTCAACGTGTTAACAATGTCAAAAAGAAACAGGTGCATTTTTCATTTCAAGATT